TTATGCATGTATGTATGCATGCATGCATGCATGTACGCATGTATGCATGTATGCATGTATGCATGTATGCATGTATGTATGTATGCATGCATGCATGCATGAAATGTATGTATTGTATGTATGTGTGCATGTAATGTATGTATTGTATGTATGCATGTATGTATGTAATGTATGTATGTATTTATGCATGTATGTATGCATGCATGCATGCATGTACGCATGTATGCATGTATGCATGTATGCATGTATGCATGTATGTATGTATGCATGCATGCATGCATGAAATGTATGTATTGTATGTATGTGTGCATGTAATGTATGTATTGTATGTATGCATGTATGTATGTAATGTATGTATGTATTTATGCATGTATGTATGCATGCATGCATGCATGTACGCATGTATGCATGTATGCATGTATGCATGTATGCATGTATGTATGTATGCATGCATGCATGCATGAAATGTATGTATTGTATGTATGTGTGCATGTATGTATGTATCATGTATGCAGGTATGCAGGTATGTATGCATGCATGCATGTATGTATGTACAGCCACATCGAGATTCCCAAAGATCGTACCTTCCCTTTTTTTCCCTTCCAGCATGGCGAAAGCAGGTCGACGACTCCAACTCCCAAGCGGGGTGGCAGAGCCAGAACAGCGACGTCATGAACAGCGAGGAGGAGCCATGGTTTCCCGCAGGGCTGATGTTTCAAGGGGACATACTGGGATTTTAGGTTGCCATTGTCTATGATATTGGGGAATCCAAATCCTGTACAGTGATGAAGTAGTGGGAATGGCCAACTTTGGTATCAAAGAAAGGGTTGTTTCATTTCCCACAGCTATGAGGATTAAGGTGTGAGCCAGTTGGGCGGCGGGCGTGTCTCAAAATAGGAAGCGCCTATTTGGCGGCTGAAAGGAAAGACATAGTGATTCAGAGCCACAACAAGGGGAGCAATGCCCTCCAACAGCCCCCAACAAGTCACAAATCGTCGCTTTTAGGCTGTAATGGCTCCCCTTGCTTTGGCTCTACATCACTATATGAGAATAGCAGTATTCAGCCATGGCCGGCATCGTTTCGCGTGGGCCGGCTTGCACAGAAGTTGTTTCCAACATCACGCAAGTGCAGCGCGGATGCGCAGGCTCGCACAGAAGGGGGTCTGCGCGCGGGTCCGTGTCGGAGGTGCGCTCTCGCTCCGGCGCCGTGCGAATTTTGCAAACGGTGGATTGGTGCATCCTCTGCGGACTTTGGCACGCTTGCAGCGAACCCTTTGCGGACTTTGGGCGTGTCGGACCGCTGTCGCCATGGCACTGTGCAAATTCTATAATCGAAGGTCGTCTTTGGGTGTGTCCTCGCTGTGGCGCCGCAAGCTTCTATCATCGAAAGTAACTTCTTTGCGGACTTTGGGTGGGTCGGATCGTTCCAGCTGTAGCGTGGTGCAAGCTTAGCCCTCTGTTGACTTTGGGTGTGTCGGACCGCTCCCGCTGGGTGTAGTGGATAGGTTCTGCGAGATCGAAGATCGGGCGCAGGACCATCTTCGCACCTTCTAAAGGTCTCCTTGAAAGAGATCATGCTCAAGACCTTCTACATAGATCGCCTCTAAGACTGTCGCGCATGATTTTCCAGCAAGAGGTCTGTTGTGGAGCCTACCATGAACCTTGAAAAACATATTCCAAGCCGATTGGCGTGAAACATGGATCTATATATAGGAAGGCTCTGTGCAAAATCTCTTCAGAGGATAGCTTTAGACGCTGCTCACGAGGTCCTGCACAAGATCTCGTTGCAGGCACTGCTGCAAAAACAATTTGGCTGCGTTGTCCTAATTGTCTCCTTGCACTGTTTGGGGTCTCTTGCGGGTGTAATTGTTTGGTGGGTTTGGGACCCACTATCGCGACTTGGCGGTCGAGCTGTGCACGGCTGAGCAGCGGTGCAGCAGCCCGATTTCCAGGCGCCTCACCTGAAAGGCCGGGCAAGGTCCGCAGCAGTGCGAACCGGCCGGCGAGATGTCCATTCGCAAAGGGCGGACCTGGTGGACTGTACAAAGTCCGCTGAAGCTCCTACCCAAATGCCCTGTTGGGGAGGGTGGACTCCACAGCTCAAAATGTTGATGCGCTCAACAAAAATCTCTGGCACACGAAAGTGATTGAAAGCAATCGTGTACAGGCTCTTCACCAGTTTGACTTGGCTGGCGACAGTCGTAAGACCGAACGAACAGGGCTTGGCCGAAAGAGGAACCCAGTTGTCCTTGCCGTTGCCAGGGGCTGGAAGACAAATACCGCTTCTGTGCAAGGCTATTGTGAGCTCAAGCCAACTGATGGCACGTGCAGCGTCTGTGTCTGCGTCATGGCTCAACAGCCATTCCAGCGCGGATTTAAAGAAACATGCAGGAATCCCTCCGAGGGAACTCGCCCGATGTGCTGCTCCCAGTCGACAGGGATGTAATCGGCGATGATGTCATCTCTTGCTCTTTGCTGTACATCCCCACCTGGGATGATTTCAAGTTCATCCTCATCAGGATGGGGCGCTTGGAGGTTGGTCTGGGCGATGCTGAAGTACAAGGCCCGCAGTTCTCGGCTTAACCTAGCGTACTTGTTCACATGAAGTTTTGCAGCAGCGAGAATATCTGTAAACTGCAAAGTGCGGTTCAGGTTAGCGACACCTGCGGCTGTGTCGGCTTTTGCATTCCAGGTTGCGGCCCATGCCTCAAAAGGATCCTCACACTTATGTATAAGCACGTGCGAGTGAACATGTCTGACGTTCACCAACAACTGCTCACAGTCTGAAACAAGATGGCTCGCTCTTGTCCAAAGATCATGGTTGTCTCGTCCGTGCAGGTCAAGGTTACCGGCCAGAATGTCCTGGTACCCTTGACATACATAGTTGCTATCCGTCCAGATAATGGTGGGCTGCTGAACAAGACGCACCCACTGGCATGCTGAACAGAAAGCCGACAATTCGGCTTGGTTGATAGTCTTGGGGAAGCCAACAAGGGGTCCCGAAGAAACACAAACCGACGACGTCGTCGATACAACGGCCCAAGCTGCAACTGTAAAGCCTTCGCAATAGGTACTGCAAGATCCGTCAGTAAAAAGGTGCTGAAGTTGACCCTCTGCAGGGTGAGGTCCCTCAAAGCGACCGGCAAGTTCAGGCACCTGGTTAAGCAACTCACGGTAAGCATGGTACCAGGGATTCCTTGGGACAAGCAGATGATTGGTGAAGCAAGCTGGGAGAGAGTCCCAAAGGCGAGTGACCTCTGAAGCGTGACCGGGCAAGTTGATGTGTGGGACAGTGCCGACACTGATGCTCGTAGGTATCGGGCACGTTACAATTGACACAGTCAGGAGTTTTGGCTGTATCGTAGTGAGCGTGCTGGCGGCTTCGGAAAGAGCCATCCTGGATGGCCGAGAGCATGGCTTTCTCGTGAGGAGTCAGCCTTGGGTAGTCAAGTCGGCAGAGAGGCAAGTCGATACCTCGCAGCCCATGCATGGAAGGGCGCCGAAGTTGTTTTGCTAGTGCCTGGGCCCATCATCAACAGGTTGTGGTCGCTCATCCTTTAGTTGCCCAAAGAGAGTAGCGCTGTGTTGCTCAGCTCGGTTCCGAAGGGCTTTAGCGCGTTGCCGAATGTGCCAGCTCTTGAAGCGCCGAAAGTTGGCACGAAAATCTTCAAAGATTCAGGTTGCCAACGCGAGTGTGAGTTTGCTGCTGGGGAGCGTGGGCAACGCACAGCGCTCACCTTGCGCCCCATTTCTGCTCCACTAGCCAAACCGAGCCGCCATGGGGAAGAGCGACTTGGCAGCGATCTTGTCTGTGCAGCAGTTCGACGATGGTTCAAACAACCACGACGACTCCAGTCACTCGTCCACGCGTTGCGGAGCGACAAGCTTACCGCCGAAGCCATTGCATACCGGGTTGCTCTGGGCCTCAACAATTCGTGCGCCTGGTTTCGAAGGAGGGTTCACGACATGGTGGCAAACTCGTCATTCACGCCTTACATCGAGACGGGAGCTGATGCCCGTGTTGTCGTGGCCATTCTGCCGAGATAGCAGTTTCGTACTTAGACGAAAATGAAGCAAACCAGTCAGTGGTGTCTCCTTGTGGTGATGGGAGAGCACACGTGGCGGTTGTGAAGGATGAAGGATCGCTGAGCAATTCCCAAAAAATGAGTGCAGGTAAAGCCCAAGCCCGCAAGAGCTGAACCTGATCAGGGAATGCCAAGCAAGCAATGACAGTGGCGTGTTCCTGGAAAGTATGAACAACGCTGACCTCAGCAAGCATTGAGGCCGCCTCAGGCGACAAATAGACAAAATCACGCTGTGTGGCACCCTTGATCTGAGCCTCAATGCCCCAAACCAAAGTTGAAAGGCAAGCGTTTGGACCTCAACCCAGCCATGTCGGTGCCACAGCTGAACCTGGGCCAGGGAGTCAGGACTGTGGTCAAAGTCTCCGCAGATGAGGCGGATTCCTGTTCTCCCTATCACGACTTCTTGTGTAAGAGCACCAAGAAACGAATGTGCATTTCCGGTAGCACCCAGTGGTCGTCCCTGGTATTGATGAGGAGCTCCTTGAATCGATCGAGGGCTATGATTGGTGGTGTTGTGGCTCCATGGAGCCAGCGTGCCAGATGGGCTGCAACCCATACAACTTGGAGAGAGGAGCAGCGACTTGCCCGACCAAGCATAACGCTCCTCGTTGGTTGGGAAGTAGTGGTAGGTGGCTGGAACCGAGTTGAGGAGACCTGCTTCTTGGGGATGAAGGAACCTGGGCCGAAGAGGGTCCTTGGATGATACTCCGAATCCACGCAAGCCTCCAGAAAGGAGGCGAGTCTCCCCAAATCGGGATGATCTGCATCCGCACGGGCAGGGTTGCAAGGCGACCCCCCATGAATGGAGAGCGGTCGGTGCGGGTTGCTCTGTGTCGAGAGTTCGCCGGTCACTCCCGTATGTGGGACTCGTAGTATGATTTCTCCAGGTCACTCCAACGAAGTTGGATGTCGTGGTCGTCGGGCCAAGTTGGCCAGGTTGGGATAACGTCAGAGACCTTATGAAATGTGTTGTCCCGAGGCCAGGGCAGGAGTTGGGAGCAGACTCCCAAACCAACGGTGCCGGTGTGAGACCATTGGTATTGCAGGTCAAGCGTCATAGTCTTGAGGCACATGTGTGTTGCTGCTGCAAATTGCTGAATGGACTCCATGATGCATGGGTAGTTGAGCACGCTGGCCACGCACTCAAGAACGAGTCCGTAGCATTGAGTGAGCCATGCTGCGCGAAGTATGTGGGCCAGTGTCTTGCTACGAGGATCAGTGATGCTTCGTTTGTCGCCCTGCTGAGAGTATGGCTGGCAAGGAAATCCAGCTGTGAGAAGGAAGGGGCGTCCATGGAGGAGAGTTGGATGTCGGCACATCGAACTACAGCCATTGTATTTGCCTGCAGAGATTGGCAGGCAAGTGGGCTGTGGTCAATGAAGGCAGCGGCACTGAAACCGCAGAAAGAGAAGCCGAGGCTGAAGCCGCCCATGCCCGCACAGAGCTCTTTGACAAGAGCTGGTGTACAGGCCGTGGAACCTGACAGCACAAAGTCTTGAGGCGGGCTCAGGCCCGGAAAAAGTGATCCACCATGTCGCGGCTCCATGAAGGAGGCCACCAATGAGACCACTGTGCCCGGTGGAAGTTGGTCCAGCCGAGGGTCCATGGCAATTTCTGTGCCCCTACCTTCTGTTGCTAGCAGCTTCACCTCTGGCAGGCGTAGGGCCGAAAGCTGGGACCCACTAAAAATGGAACTGAGCCTGAAAAAGGGCTTCTCTAAACTGATTTGCATATGTGTAGGTCGACGCAAAGGAAACAGAAGTTGGACATGTTAGTTTTGGGGTACCCTGAGCCTGGGCCAAGGATAGGGCACTTCATTGTTACTGCCATTGTTCAATGCCACGCTGTAAACTCTGTTTTATCTTTTGGTTTGCTGGGTTTAGGACCCCAAACCGACTAAACACAGAATCGACGCCAATGGGCAACTAGGGGGATTGGAGGTTTGGGTAAGTCAAAGGAGGATGGCGGGGCCAGGACCTGGAGAGCGAGAAGAAATGTTTGCCCCATTTCTGTCCTCAGCCGAAGGAGGACCGAATCGGCTCGGCCGGAAGGAGTCGTTAATGGCTTCATCCGCGGGGCCTGTTTCTTTCCCTCGTTTTTTTGGTTTACCTCTTTTTTCTGTTCATGTTTGGCGGGTAGCTGTCGGCAAGCAACTGGGGCTTTCGGAACGAGCCAATGGATCTATATATTGTAAGGAGCCATAAAGGGATGGGTTTTAGGTTTCCTCTATGCCCAACTCCCAGAGAAGTCGTTCTTCTCCGTAGTCAAACAGTGGAACCCTGGCTGGCAGTTTTGACAGCTCAAATTCATAGCGTTTCCCATCGGACTGAAGAGAAGTCACCATTTGATTGCCTCCCGCCTTTGATCTTTCACTTTGGCCATGGATTCCATCGCAAAAGACAGCAGACAGAAAATTAACCACGAGGATTCCTCCCTTATAAGTCTTACAGGTTCGGAGTTTTGACCATGGCACATTTGCTTTACGAGGCGGATTTTGCCGGGTTTGGCTTCTCGTGGCAACCGCTGAGTTCGAACTTTTGTTGGATCCGGTGGTATGCACCGGCACACCTAAAAAGCTTCCATTTGCTTAAGATTATATTTTTATTTTCCCCTGTTGGTTTTAAAGGGAATCTATAATTTTATTTTTTCCGGTGGGCTTAAGCAAATGGAAGAAAATCGAAAAGAAAAAGTGTGTCAAGAGTCAAGAGTAATCCAAGACGAAGCCAAGGCCACAGGGGATGCCCGCGCTGAGTCAGGGAAGAGCCAAATTTTTCGAGCGAAGCTGGGCTGAAATCCTCAAGACCAGGTTGCCAACCCTGAAAGGGCAGGAGTACAATGGCCGAAATAATTAGAATGAGGTGGGGTACTTTGAAACCGCATCTAGTCATGCTTTTACCCTCCACTTGGCCGTGCTAATCGGATCGGCAGGTGAGGAGTGGAGATGTGCGGTTCCTTCCTAGAAGTATCCGGTTCAGCAATCTTGACTAGACAGGCGGAAGGCGCTGCGCAGGCCTGAAGCTTGTTTTTCTCCCTTCGATCCTTGGCGGCAGCGACGGCCTCAAAGAAATACCCGATCCCAGCCTCGCCTCCCCACTAGGGTGTGACCTACTGGACTGGGGTCGTCATAGTCCCCATAAAATCGTGGTTATGACCTATGAAGTAGCTTGACAACCCAAGCAACCCGCAAGGAAGGGAGCATAGACTCGCAACCGCCGGCCTCCCCTTGCTTCCAAGAAGCCAAAACCGGCCGATGGTGCCGGTAGGAGAGCGCCTACGTTTGGCAGAAACCCTTGCGGCGACTTATCGAATCCTGGATGCGACTTGGCCGCAAGGGCTGTGGTTCCATGCGATCAAGGCTACCGCTGGGTTTGCTTTGTTGACAACCCCAATTTGTTCGCCATTTCAAGAATAATGTTTGCAGGGTGCCACCCCCCGTTTGCGGCCGTCGAGGCCTGAACCGGGGTGCTGGGGATGTGCCAAACAGGACGACTGGACCACTCTAAGGCGCACACTCACAGGTCTACCTGCCTATTTATGGCGGGCTCTAGGGATAAAACTAGCGAAAGCCATGATGTAGGTCCTTTACTTGGTTACTCCATCTTCCTTGAGTGTTTTTGGACACATGAGTCAAGTCCCGGACGCGAGCGACGTGTTGTCTGCGAAAAAATGTAAACGGCTCAAATTGAGCATCCCACCGAATGGCTGAACGGACGTCGCATTGACAGACTTCGCGTGACCGAATCGCCCCTCAGACCTCGGAAGCCGGCTTTTCCATTAAACCTATACAAAAGGCTAGACCTGTGGCTTATTCTTTGCCTTTCCTTTAACAGGCACCCTATATTCCCCTTAAGCCTCATACGAGGAAACTCATCTAAAGGTGGCAAGGAGATGTTTAAACGGGCTGAGGGACTTGTCCAACATGGTGATTGTCGAGGTTCTCATTGAAACTCCCGAAAAGGGGTGCTCTCAAAAGAAGGCACGCCCTGGCGTGTTTCTCGAAGAGGATCCCTAAAATTGGTTGGTTTCCTTTGGGCTCTTCCGAGAATAAAGTAGCCACCTAGAAGGGTTTCGCTGTGTTGATCCGTCCATCCATGCATGCATGCATCCATGATGCATGCATGCATGCATGCATGCATCCATCCATCCATCCATCCATCCATCCATCCATCCATCCATCCATCCATCCATCCATCCATCATGCATGCATGCATGCATGCATGCATCCATCCATCCATCCATCCATCCATCCATCCATCCATCCATCCATCCATCCATCCATCCATCCATCCATCCATCCATTGTCCGTCCATCCATTTGTCCGCCCATGTATTCATCCATTCATCCATCCATTTGTATCCTTCCATGCATGCATCCATGCATCCATGCATCCATGCATCCATGCATGCATGCATCCATCCATCCATCCATCCATCCATCCATCCATCCATGCATGCATGCATGCATGCATGCATGCACGCATCTATTCATCTATCCAGCCATCCAGCTATCCATCCCTGCAAGCATGCCATCCATCCGTGCACACATCTATTCATCCATGCATCCATGCATGCATGCATGCATGCATGCACGCATGCATCCATCCATCCATCCATCCATCCATCCATCCATCCATCCATGCATCCATGCATCCATGCATCCATGCATCCATGCATCCATGCATCCATGCATCCATGCATCCATGCATCCACGCATGCATGCATCCCTCCATCCATGCAAGCAGGCCTGCATCCATCCAGGCATGCATGCATCCGTCCATGCACACATCTATTCATCCATGCATGCTGCACCCATCCATCCATGCATCCACGCATCCATCCATTCATCCACGCATGCATGCATCCATCCATGCATGCATGCATCCATCCATGCACGCATCTATTCATCCATGCATTCATGCATCCATCCATAAACGTATCTATTCATCCACGCATGCATGCACCCATGCACACATCTATTCATGCATGCCTGCCTGCCTGCCTGCCTGCCTGCCTGCCTGCCTCCATGCATGCATGCATCCATCCATCCATCCATCCATCCATCTATCCATCCATTCATTTACGCATGCATGCATCCATCCATGCACGCATCTATTCATCCATGCATGCATGCATCCATCGCATGCATCCATCCATGCACGCATCTATTCATCCATGCATGCATGCATCCATCGCATGCATCCATCGCATGCATCCATCCATGCAAGCATCTATTAATCCATGCAAGCATGCAACCAGCGTATAGACTGGTTCTTTTTGGACATTGCTTAGCCTCAATGCAATGCATGCAGTCCATCGCATGCATCCATCCATGTCACGCATCTATTCATCCAGGCATGCATGCCATCCATCGCATGCATCCTTCCATGCAAGCATCTATTTCATCCATGCTTGCAATGCATCCATCGCATCCAATCCATCCATGCTCGCATCAATTTCATCCATGCATGCATGCATCCACGCAGATGCATCCATGCATGCATGCATGCATGCATCCATCCATCCATCCATCCATCCATCCATCCATCCATGCATGCATCCATCCATCCATGCATGCATGCATGCATCCATCCATCCATGCATGCATGCATGCATGCATCCATCCCATCCATCCATGCATGCATGCATCCATCCATCCATGCATGCATGCATGCATGCATCCATCCATCCATCCATGCATGCATGCATGCATGCATGCATCCATCCATCCATCCATCCATGCATGCATGCATGCATGCATCTATCCATCCATCCATCCATCCATCCATCCATCCATCCATCCATCCATCCTTGCATGCATCCATCCATCCATGCATGCATGCATGCATCTATCCATCCATCCATGCATGCATGCATGCATCCATCCATCCATCCATCCATCCATGCATGCATGCATCC